ATTATTATTATAATATAGATATTTCAGATTAATTCAACCACTTTTTTTTTTAATGTAACTTTATTATCTTATTGAATAATATTATTAAAAAATCGAAGTTCTTTCGTATTTTCAGAATAAATATTACAATTCTCAAAAATACATAAAACACTTCAATGTCATTCTTGGGAACACAATGAATAATGTATACAAAAGTATTAATCTCACCTTGAAGAAAGCCGCCGTGCTGCCGCCTTTGAGAGCACCATATTTGATTTTCGTCTGCTTAGCGAGATCTTCGGCGCTTTCAATCGGCGAATCCATCCTCTCGACGGTGAGGAAAGCCGCGAGATTAGCCGTATAAGAGGAGATCATGATCAGCGTGAAGAACCACCACATACCAGCGACCATGCGAGTCGACACGGCCCTACGAGAGATCAAAGGCTTCTGTTTTCCATTGCAAGGCGTTTTAAACGGAAAAGCATGCGAATTTGAGTGCAAAGTAGTCCGCATAAACCATCTCGTGTAAATTCGTGCTCGATAAAACAGAGCGTGTTGAAAATACGAATCGTAGAAAAAGAAATCAATGGCACTTGCCGTTGAAGAAGTTTTCGAAGGTAACTTTGCACCTTTTACGCGAAGGTAATGGAGCGTACGAAGTTCAACTTCGCTTTATATAACGAGCCAGCTGTATACGTTGCAGCTATAACCCATTTCGCAGTTAAATGATTCGCGTTCGCTATTAAACGGCAAATGCGGAAGCTGGCGAGCGAGAACGGACATATATACGAAACGTGTGCGGGCGAATTATTTTACATGCGAAAACTGGCGAGTATACATAAACGCAATTATGTCATGTATAACGAGCACGTGGAATTATTGGAAATTACTTGTGTAAGGGCATTCCAAGCTTCAGCGCATGCCATGCAATATCATGCATTTCGATAACTATGTACGAGCAAAGCGTTGTGATTAATTTTGCCGCACTTGTATATGGCACACCGGAAATCGCGTTACAAAGATATAATTCTTGAATAATTTTTAAAACCATATTTTTGATAAAGCGCGTTTTATTCGTTTTCTAACTTCGAACCTTTTAATTTTGAATATTAAACTGCTAATTCTGTATAAAGTTAATTTTCTATTCTGCTTCGAATTAACTAGAATGTAAAGTTTTGTTACATACTGCTGCAGCTTCATTTGCTATAATCCTTTAATTAAGATTCGTAATTAAGCCATCGATTAAATTTTTATTGTTCTTCAAGGAAAGAATCAACATCAAAAGCTGTTAAGGAATATATTCCTGTCAAGTAATTTTCACGTTTTCCGATATACTTGGTGTACAATCAGTTGCAGCAAGCCTACGATATAGCACGGCAGGTTTATTGGTTCTTTCATCGTTTGAATAATCTACAATAACGCGCTGTATATTCGCTTCCCTCATTCACGATTAAACTTAGTTTTACGCTGATAACAGCGACATAATGGATTCTACATTCGTACTCCATGTTTATATACACTGCGTGCTTCTTCAGTAACTTACTTCGGCGCTATATCGGAGCCTTGCTGCATGAGAGAGCCTATGGTGAACCAGAGCGAGTTCATTAGGGTGAACTCGTTCTCGAGGACTTCGGACTGCCCGTTGCATGGATGGGGGTTCTCCCACTCGTAGGGGCTGAACCTGCGGACAGGTGAAAGGGGAAGGATTGAGATTAGATGATAAAGCGTGCACCTATCCGCGAATTTTTCCGTGTCGTCACTCTCTGAAATTGACGAGATAAATTATATGCTTCGTACAATTAATGAAACAGAGATCTTTTATTGAAGCGATATAATGATTGTTTTATGATGAAAGCAATCTCCGCAAATAATACAAAAATATATAATAAGAAACATGTAAATATATATCTAATTATTCGCATTATTTAGCCAAAATGATAAAAATACTATGAAAAAACTTATTTTAATATAAATCTCAGTTTCTTGGCATAAACAAAATTTATTTTATTATGACATCATTATTTTATTCCTTCAGATTCAGTTTAATCATATAAAATTTAGTTTTCTAAATTAATTTTACAAGATTATACTTCATTAGTGTTATTTTTGTGCGCGTTTAAGAATAATGTAGTATAGCTTACTGTAAGTGTAACATATTTTATTTTATTTCTGTACTTCTTGATAAAATACGAAAATTGCTTAATTTGGCATCTCGAGGCTGTTGCTGCCTGTTTTTTTATTGATCTTATGATTTATGCACGAAGAAGACAAAGACAATAAATATTTAGTTTTATTAAGGTATAGTCAGCGTGATATCATCAGTGTGACATGCAACAAATGCGATGAGCACCTATTTGCGCAAGAAGATTGTTATCTCGATGGGTGAAAGGGCTTACTTTGGCAGAATATCACAACCCTGCCGCATTAGGGAGCCAATGGTGAACCACAAGCAGTTAAAGAATTTGAAGCGGTTCTCCAGATGGTCCGGATTTTTGTTGCACGGATGCGGGTTGTACCATTCATACGGCGTGAATCTAAACTTAACGATTCCAAATACGTTCTGATCCAATGGCATTGAACGTTTTTATTATATAAAAAGTTCTACCTTAAGAATTTTTGCATTTCTCTTATAACAAATTCATCTTAGCACATATTATTTGAACAATAAATTTTTATCAACCTTGTAAATGATTTGCACAAGATAGCTAATACAATATGTAAAACAACTGCGAGAATTAGAAACAAAACGAAAAATTAAATTTCTAATTAGATATCCTTATCGTGAAAATTAAGAAGCATAAATATCGATGTAAATTAAAATTTTGATCATTATTTAAATTTATGAGACAAAGACATATAAAATTATCGAAGTAAGATAGGTTCACGTTTCCTTCGTATTTAATTTATCGATGCATCATGTTAAAGGAGACGCGATCGCATTGATTAGATAAAGGATTAAATTTCCAGAATAGTGTCACAACGTTTTGTCGGAGGAATTTAAAGTGGTTTCACTTGCCTAGCTAATATAAAGAGGAGCACGGAGACCCCGAGATAAGCCGTTGCCATGTAGATCCAAACGTCGAGGCTAAGAGGGCTGAGGAACGAGAACAAATTCGGCGGTTGCTTTATGGGTTTGCGGTAAAGTATGCTGATCCCTGGAAATTCAAAATTCTCATTTTATGCTTAGCCATAGCGGAGACCACAGGTAGAATGCATTGATGTGTGGACACAGTGGACCGTATAATCATCCGTGAGATTTATTCTGGTTTTCGTTACGACCACCTATGGCTTACGAAGGTACATAATAGCTCATAAAATTGCGTCCGAGAAATTATTTCAGAGATATGCAGGACAAAGATTGCTCGCTATGTGTGACATTTTAAATTTCATTCCGTTATTTTAATTTGAAATAATAATTTTGCTTCTATGACGCTGTAACTTACTATTATTTTTGCAGAAATACAATTTTAAATTTTTGATTGTGTACAGAAATGTAATTAAATAATATTTTTCATAAAAAGCAGTTATATCTCTTTGATATCAATAACGTTTGCTTGAAATGTGATTATCTTTTTTCACATCTTATTGCCAAGCTTATGGAAGCGACAACATCGTTAGAAAATATTATAACATCATCTTAAACTATTTATGTAAAATGGCATATTTTTTTTACAACTCCTTTCATATAACATGTTTATGTGAATTGTAAAATTACAGCGATATTTGCTGCATTCGTAACGTTGACTCTCACCTAAAGGCATGAACGGCGTCGTGAAATCCACAACCTGTTCCCGGTCGTACGTGATGGTGAGATCACCGATCGCGAGATCGGCCTTTTGCTCGAGTAGCTCCTTCATCATCCCGTCCCATTCCTTCGTCTGCGGATTGTACGAGCCGTAACGTCCATCCGGCACAAGTCGGAACGTATAATTGAATCCTAGCAGCCGCGATATCTCGTAAATCAAGTCGACGCTGTAGCCTTCGAATTGCGCATTTCCGGTAAGTTTCTCACTCGAGTCCTTCCGCATACAGTATGGCGCGCTCTGCGATGAGGTAATGAGCTGCTGTCAATACTACATATAGGTGTTTAAAGAAACGCTACGAATTTATCGATACGAGCAATTAACTTATCGACGATAGCTCTCAACGAGACTGCCAGTGAAGTTATAATATCTGCAGTAATAATCTTACAATTAGCGACATAATCTTACAATACGCTCGTACCATCGAGATTAACTTAGAAGATAGTACAAAACTATACATATTGATTATTAAAAGAAATGGAAAAATAGAGTTATAAATAATGTTATTTTACAATTAATAATCAAATAAGTCTGATTTTTCTAAAGTTGCAATTTAAGTACAAATGGTAAAATATTTAATGATAGAAATGAAAAAATTGATATTGTTCCTAACAATAGAAACACATCAATTAACATACATTTCATATCTTTATAAATCTTGTTATTTATTTTGTTATTTTAACATTTAATATAAATCTCACGCAGCATTCTATAATGTATGTATACCTAAGTATACCTACATGTTGTATGTTCTTATTAGATAGATCCGTTTAGTTGCGGATCTCGATGTATTGATCGAAGAAACGTTAGGACATTGAAGTTTTTATGAGAATGATTCTCACGCGATGTATCCCGTTTCTTATCATGCCAGGCCTCACTGCGGGAAACTTACTGCTGTCCCTTTCTCGAGCAAGTTTCAAGGTACTTAATACATTATCATTACATTATTTGTCGTCGCAATTAGAGTGAGAATAAGTAATGTAATCGATCGTCGCGAAAATTTCAATCAACACTAAGTCACGTGCGTATTAGATTTCTAGTGTTTCTTTCTTCTTCTTTTCTTGTTAGAAAAATGAGAACGAGAAAATAACGAGCATCGCTAATGGATGGACAAAATTTTTCCACTCCGCTGTGACTGCCGCTTAAATGCGGTGACGTTTCTGTTTTGTTCGCGCTTCGATTGAAGCAACGATTTCCGAGTCAGGCGTGCGATTGTCACGAACAATTTTTGCAGACATGTCTTCAAACGAAATAAATGGTTTAGGATTTTTTTTTATTCTAAACGACATTTTTCGCACAATGTTTCCAAAATTTATATCTCAAGCTAACAAGGAAAGGCATACGGAAGTAATCCTTCGATTTTGATGAGCTTTAAATATGTCGTTTTTTAGACAGAAAAAAAAGATACGTATTTTTTTATATATATCTACTTGCACTTTTAAGAGATAAAACCCCTTAGAACAAATCAGTTATTCTATTTTGACGCGAATATCGTTAAAACTATGAGAGACAGAAAAAAATGTTCAAAATAAAAGTTGAATTGTTTCAAGAGTACTTCAAAATAACAAATTAAAAAAATTTGTTTAAAAATTTTTTATTTGTAAAAAATAAAAAATTGCTTTTGAATTATAATTATCAAGTATTCTTAAAACCATTAAACTTTTATTTCGAATATTTTTTTCTTTCTCTCATAATTCGACTCGAAATAGAGTAACCGTTTTTTTTTAAGAATTATAAAACAGACATTTAAAAATAGAAAACGATATATTTAAAGTTCATCAAAAGGGGACAAATCGGTGCGATTCTTTGTAAGTAATTTTTGTCTTCTAAAGTTTTATCTTATTACATAATTATTTCTAATTATTTCTAATTATTTAGTTTCGATAAATTTTTATCTTATTAATACAGTTTTAAATATTAATAAGATAAAAACAATTTAGTAGATTTAATGTATAAATAGTACAGTGCTTTAATAAATAAATTAATTTATAATTAATTGGTATTTCTTATTCTTCTAAAATGAAAGAAAGAAAGCTATTTATATAATAAAATTTATTTAAAAAATAGGAAAGAGCAATGTGTTATATATTATCTTCATCCAAATTAAATAGTACCTATCCAATTATTTATAAGATTCAAAGAAACAGAATTTAAGTGTTCGTATTCGAAGATGAAAATTTTATTCAATATATTATTCTGATGTTTGAAAGAAAGGAAAGCCGCGCGTATTCTTTAGAAACGTCACTCACCAGTATAGTCGTCACGATGAAAGTCTTATTCTGCAAGTTTTCAACGATTTGACTGTAAACATCACCGTAGCTTCTCGTAAAGTTGATACCTTTGGTACTATTCCAAGTACCGATTTTCTTCAAGCCTTCTTTGTTATTCAGCTCGATGATGTCTAGAACGAAGTCGGAGCGAAATCCCTGATGATCGAACTTGATAATACCCGTGAGCCCTGTCATCTCCACCTAAAATATGTTGAAAATATTTAGCAGTTAAAATTGTATCTTGTTTTGTTATACAAATATAATATTTTCTTACTAATTTTATTAGATCATAATTAAACGATATTTGTGTATTCACTGAAAATTGTAAATGTTACTTAAAATTGAGGGAATGAGTAGAATAAAGATTTAATTACAAATCTTGATATTAATAAAAATTAAAATAACTTGCTACTTTTTTTATTATACATAAATAATGGGTACATAACATTAAATGAACAATATTAAATGAATTTATGTAAGAAGAAATTACTTTAAGAAATTACATGTTATAAATATTATCTATTACGATCAAATACATGAAAAAGCTATTGCCGGAAAAAGTGCCTAAGTAGAATTGTGCCTTTATTCCGCCCGTCCCCTCAATTATATATACAGACGTAAATCATGATATTAAAACATATTGTTATTTTTTTATATCTTATATGCATTGAAATACTAAAGTATATGACATGATGGTTTATGCGCGAATAAATTAACATACAATCTGTAAGAGTTTTATACGCTTGTATGTCTGATATGCGTAGATCAGTGACTCTCAAAAATTGTGTCACAAACTTTACTAAGTGTAAATTTCTGATTTCAATCTTAGATATTTTGTTGGAAGCAAATTTATTAATAGCTTAATTTTATTTTTATTTTAAGTTTAATAATTCGATTTGATTTAAAATTTAATGAATATACGTATCTAATTGCTGCATGATTTTGATCGAAAAATGTTTGAGAGCTAAGATGGACATACATATAACCAAACTTGGATATGAACAGCTTCATGGTGCATTTATTACGCATACGAAAATAAAGTATACGTCTATACATTTACCGCTCGTAAATGTGTAGACGTATACGAGATGGGCGTCTGGCAATGACAGGATGTTATACTTCGCAATTATATGGAAATACTAAAGATGCATTAATATACGATTATATCTTATATAAAGATGAAAATTTTGTTCGTAAAGTGATTCGCGAATATTTATATATCTCATGATAACCGAATTTTGCCACGTCTTTCTCTGTGCATGAGTCATATTGTACATTCCTAAAACGATGGAATTGCGGACGAAATTCTAGGTGACTGCTGTAATTACCTGAATATCGTAAATTAAATTCTGTTCTGACACGCAAGATTAATATAGATGCTATCATTACTGACGACTTATGATCCTTGGAAAGATTATTTTAATTGATTGTTATTACGTTACTCGATTAATATCGTATCAATATTACATAAATAGATGTCCTATCATATCATCATATATGTCTGTCATGAAAACTATCGGTAATAAAGTAACGTAAGATGATGACTGCATTAATCGCCATGAAATCTAGTAAAAATCAACAAATGAATTCTGACAATATTTAGAATGTCTTGATAGCACATTTAATACTACATTTTTTGGTGTAATGTAATTTTATAGTATAACTAGCCAATTGAGAAATTTTTTATTACCGAGAAATTGTTTTCGCACAATACAAGAATTACACTGGTCGATAAAAATTCAACCTGTTTGGTTTCAAAGTAAATGAAGTCACTTTTGATATTTTTGATGCGCTGATTACTTATATATAAGTAGTTTATATAAGTAGTGGAAAGAATAGACATTGTTTTTCATATTTTCACAGGCTTGATCGTAATAATCTTTTTAATATATAATTTTTAAATGAATTTTTTTCTTAAACCCAAGTTCTTTGAAATATTTAGGAGTCCTTGTACTTTCTCTACAAATATACTTCATTTTTTGCACTTTTTAAAGTTAAAATATAATATCTCCAAAACTTAACATAGTACGACATTTTTGGGATTACATTCGCAATTCGCAAAATCTATCAGAAACAGTTTCGTTTACTTTAAGGCCAAAAAATGATGTCGATCAGTGTTATATTTGTTATTATTTCGTGCTTATTATTTCAGTATATTCTTTATAGTCTTTTTCTTTACTGTCGTACTACGAAATTGAAAATTTATAGCTTTAAGTATCAAAACAGATATACAAATTATATCTGAAAACTTTTAGATGATAACAAAATTAAATAATCGATTTCTTTTATATTTTTTTTTCACGACTAATCGGAGATAATTTCAACTTTTATAAAAATTATTATATATAACGTTTAATCCGGACGTATGTATCACGTAATTGGATAGTTGCGTAACCAGTTCGTCGAAATTACATGTCTGGTTTTATCGACATCAGTTTTTGCTTATCCTGGTCAGGATGTTCGGCCGCGTGAGCGACAGATTTCGTTCGTTCGTGACATATACGCAGTCACGGGTGCACATGAGAGCCGCCTCGGCATAGAACATATCTTCCAGTACTTGTCAATTTCGACATGGCGACGTGTATGACGAAGCACGTTTCCATATTTTGCGTGCAACGCATATTTATATTCACGGTAACTCGTATCTACCATGTGTTATTGTCAGAGAATGGAAAGTTATTTTTTAAAAATAACTTGTTATTCTCTATTATAGTTGATTCTTACAAATAAGTTATCGTTACCGATACTTAAAAAGTAGAATAATTCGTTACTTTTCCGTTACTTTTTTAATGCTGAAATAAGATCAGTTTAAAAAATTTGTCAGTTAAAAAAATATGTGGCAATATTTTTTGTTTAAATATTAATAAAAACAATAATGACATTAGATTGATATGTGAAAATATAACTGAGGTGCGAATGGGGCGGTGCAGATGGTCGAACAAAAATTGATTAAAAATGACATCTAAGTTATTATATATGATAAAAATGAAAATATTGAAGAAAATAAAAAAAAAATTGTCATATACAAATATGTTCAAAATATAAAAAGTAGCGATAGAAATAACTATAAAATTCGTTACCAAAAAAATGTGATCACGTTGCCATCATAATTACCAAAGAAAAAAATTACTCTTATCTGATTGTTATCACGAAAAATAACTTGTAACGTGTTAGTTTCATTTCTTAATTATTGTATCTAATATACATTCGATTTCATTGTTAAGCAGGTGCAACTCGCCATGACAATATTTGCTGCGAATAAATAGATGATATCGAAGTAAAGTATAATTTAATATGAACAATTTTTCAGCATATTACACACACATATATAGATTCTCTCATATACATTATTTTATCTATTAAGAAAATATTTGATAAATTAAATTCCTTTAAAATACAGTTAAGAAATACATTTTTGTGCGAACGAAGGGAGAAGTTTATTATAGTATTTATGTAGAATTACATAAAAAAATAGAATATAATAGGAAGTCTATATAACATTACGATATACCTGTTTATATATTCGAAGTGAGTCTCATTTAGCATAGAAAACAGAATTTTTATTATCTTTGCTTCCGTCTTTTTAAATAAATTTTCATAAAATAAATTTTCAAAAAATTAAGAAATCAGCTATATATTGATTAAAAACTTCGTTGTATTTAGCTTGAATGTTATCTGAATGTATCACAAATCTCAATACGGATTGCATAGGCGGTTCTTTGCAGGATGTACCATGGCAAAACAGCGAACAATTTGTCAGTACGCGTGACAGCTTCGTTTAAACCGGAGTAACTTTCCATTGTTTCATGAAAACAATCGCAGAGATCGCGGGAAGTCAATGCATCCGTGACTTCCTTCACCACGCGTGTCACGTATTTATCAAATTTTTTTCTTTACTTGTAAAAAATAATGCAAAGATACTTTTGCGTGTCATTTTAAAAATTAAAGAACTAGAAAACGCGGGATCTGTATTTGCATGTATTCGCATTAAATAAAATTAATTTTGGCTTTTACTAGTTTCTAGCGTGTACACAGATAATTTAATATCATATCTGACGATATTGACTTACGATATCAAAAGCATGATTAATTTTTATGCTACATGATCATAAATATGGATTTTAAAGATAAAGAAATTAATTTATTTTTTTGTGTGTATTATATCATTTTTGTGTGTATACATACACATATAAGATTAAACATAAAATAAATATAAAAAAAGTCTAAGAATGTTAGAAGAGGATGAGGAAGATATTATTGTATATGTGATTTGCCTGTGATGATTGAGATATTCTGAAAAGCAAAAGAGAGAAAAATAAAAATTCTGTTTATGTCTTATTACGGAATAACGAGTAAGAGCCTATCATGTATTATGCGTAATGTACATGGCGCGACTCGTGCTGCTTGTTAATGAACGGTACATAGATTACATGAAAGGTAAGCGAGCGAGTTGGTCGGATTAAGCATATCGTTATAATGGCTTATTACGTTGTCGGTGCGATCGATTGGTGGTGCGCGAGATTAATTTCTCCCCGGTGTGATATATTCGCGATAACTCGCTTTCTGCTTTGCATCGTTGCTTCGTTGAATATGAGCGTGTAGTAATCATGTGGAAAGATGGCTGTCAATATATAAGCATCGCCTTTACTATCGCGAGCGTTTATCGCACATATTTTACAAAATGAAATATTTTAGGGTTTGAAAGGATTGCGCAGATCCGATTTATCATTATCCTTAATCTAAATTTATTTGATTGCTTTATTAATTTCAGTTAAAATCAATTATAAATGTGACAATTGTATGATTATAGTCTAATATCTAATAGTATCTATTAGTATCTAGTAGTATCTAGTATGGAATATTTAGTATTGTAGTGCTAAATGTAAAGCTAATATGGAGATTATGCATTTAAATGCAAAAAATATAAAAATTATTTAACAAAAAGTTGTCATATCATTTACATAAAATCGCTGTTAAAATATAAATTTATATCGATAGATTGTTATTATTCAAAATTAAGAGAATCGTGTGTAGACATTGAAATTATGAGAGAAATGATACATAAAGATATGAGAAATATAAAAAATTTACCTGTTTAATGTATAATTTACTCATATATATAGAATTGTTATAAATGTGACAATTGTACGATCCATATATTCTAATATCTAATAGTATCTACTAATATCTAGTAGTATCTAATTTATTTATATATATTGTAATAACTATATTTATATATGTATTAGATTAGTTTGAGAGAGTTGAAAATTTTCAACACATAAAACTTTAACATAAAGGATATACATATGTTCTACATTTGAAAACACACACAATATATTAGTTATTTCTATTAACGTTACTTACAATTTTCATGTAATTGATAAGAGAGTATCCATGAGGCCAAGTATCCGTTGATTCGCAGGATAATGGTTTGATATCGATTTGTTGGGACGTGTCGAGATCGTGTAATGCTTTGGCAAAGAGATGGACAGCGTCGTACAACAACGATGTTTCAGTCTGCGAATCACACACATGATGAGATATAAGAGATGTAGCGTATACAAAATATTTCACACAAAATGATTAAATGGAAGGTTTTACGAGGCTGCTGAGAAATAAAGAGGCTTGCTGAGAAAAAAAACATTTTTAGAAAAAGCTATCTCAACGTCATGTAACATAATCTGAACCTTTTTTTTGTAATAAATTTTCTCGTTATTAGTTCTCGTGATACATATGGCTACATCATGTTTTTGCGTACAACACATATTTCCTGTTTTAACAAAAATTTTGGTACTGTTTTTCGTTTACAAAACGTAAGAGAAAATATTTTGTTCACACATTTTCCAAACTTTTAAAGTTAGTTATAGCAAAATTCATGTAGGTAAGTTTAGATTTTTCGAATAAAATACTGTAAATTAAAGTTTAATTCTGTATGTTCTTTATTAAAATGTAAATTTAGCACATTTATTAATGTATATTTATTCATTAAACAAAGTATATAATGATTGTATGCTTATTGTACAAGACTTTTAATATATACAAATATATAAACACAATTGCATGCGATATTATTAGGTGCTAGATTTCGAAGGAAAATCTTGACTCTACAGACTATTTTAAATGAAATTCACAATTCCACTACACACTCATGATATTGAAATTATCAAAGAGAGAAAGAAAATTAAATCTCGAATTCACTATTTCATGAAAGAGCTCGTATTTGGAGGTAGAGGTCAGACGGGGAATTCCTGTTTTCGCTTCAATGTGCGAAGGGTGGAAGAACGAAATCTCGGCTCCTAGGAGGATTTCACGGCAAATTGGCACCTCTGTTTCCCCAACATTTATATTTTGTAACTCGTGCGCGCGGTATCCCCGCGATACTGTCGCTGTAAAAGCGACATCACCTCAGGTATCGCGCCTTGGGTGTATATTCCTCCCAATATATTCGGGACAACCAATATCCTTACCGGATTTTACGAGGCCTTTCCCAAGGACCGTATTTACGAAGGAACTAGTCAATGTATCCGATTGTATCCGATTCACGTATTTCCCAATACGAAGGGATCGTAGGGTAAATCCTTACATTGACCCAAAGTTTCAGACAAACAGAAGTCTCTCAGGAAAACGATGTTTTCTTCAATTTTATTCATTATTCATATATCGCGTATTACTCGCGAAAGATAAAAAATGTAACATATCGAGTGGTTTACGTAAAAATTTCATATTGAAAGATATCGACGTGTGAATATTTAGTTCCAGATCGATAGAAATATCGCAATTTTCTTTTGCGTCACTTAGAAAGGTGAAATTATTCAGAAAGGTTTCCAATCGAAATAATCCCATTTTTTGTCACTTATCTTATCATGGAAATTTGGATAATTATTTGGAGATGATTTCAATGATTTTTTAACATTTCGTGAGCAAGCGAGAAATCGATTCTGATAGGGGCGTGACTACGATCGGAATCGTAAATAGCTTCGAAATAACTTCTCATGCTTCTTTTATAAAGAAAAAAACATGCGGTTAAATTTTATATCATTGCATCTAATTTTAATATTATTTTTATTCTATTCGATAGAATACAGAGAAATGCCTCAGAATTCTTTATAAATAATTTTCTATTTTCATGATATTCTTTTTATCATAATTTTTTTTATACTTAATTTCATACAACAAGAATAAAATTTATATAAAATTAATTAAAGAATTATT